TGTATAAATGTCTTTCTTCTGTTGAACACAAAAGAAGATATTTTGAAGAATGTGGGTAATCGAACAGTTGATGGTATCTATTGACCTCCATGGTATTTTTTCCATAGTGTGGAAGGCAATGGCTACTGTCAATTGTTTGTTCTGTCAACATTCTTCAAAATATCTTCTTGTGTGTTTAACAGAATAGACTTAAGCTTAAAGTAATACAAATTTTATTTTTATTATCCTATTGGCAAAATAGTCTTACTAAATTTTACAACAGGAAAAACTATTTTCTAATGTGGTAAGAAAAACAAACATAATTCAAAACTTCCACAAACAAGTCTTAATTTTTTATGCAATTTTGCAGTTTAATTTTTGCAGGTGTATCATAAGTAGAATTATAGCATGAGTTTTTGTTTGTACTGTATGTTTCTATGTGTGTGTGTGTGTGTGTGTGTGTGTGTGTACAGTACCTGTTTTTCTATTCTGGTGCGGACTTAAACTTGAATACACACAGACTCATGGGGACTCATGTCACGGTGGGGACCTAAATTGAGGTCCCCACGGGTAAACAAGCTAATAAATCACACAGAATGAAGTTTTTTGAAAATCTAAAAATGCAGAAAGTATGCATCAGTCTATAGCGTCTGAATGAGTTCACTCTGTTCCGTCGCTTCTCTCATTTGAAATCTTATTACCGGCTGTGCAGATTAGTAGTCATTGTGTTGCTTTTAATTCCATTAACTTCATATTCACCATCATCCCCTTGAATGCTCAGAGGAGCAAAGTCGACAGGCTTCAACATACGCTTCTCATTGCAATTGTTAATCAGTGGAATTCCTCATCTGTCAGCACATGCTGATTGCACTGCTAGCGTGGTTCACAAACAGGTGCTTCATTTTCAGCAGGATACTCGGATGCTTTCAGTCTCTAGTGGTGGAATAAATCTTCTCGCATGCTCTTCAAGACCTGATTTGAGATCTTTAGAACAGGCTGAGATAATTGTGCTTTCATCATTAAAAAATAAAAAACCCACAGATTTGAGGCAGATCTTTGGATTTTTGCTATTACTGAGCTATTGTATTCACACCAGAAATGTAAAATGAATAAAGAATTGTTTGGCTTGGATGGACATATCTTTTTTGTTCTGACAGGCATCATCACAAGAGAAACTACAAACTGATCTTGGCCAAAAGGTGACTTATCAACACTGACATGCTTGTGAAAGTCTCGCCTGCACTGCTAGCTTACAGCCAATCACTCTCACATTTTCTGAAAGGCTCAACTGCAGCCACTAGGTTATGCTGAGTCTTTTAGATATCCGTCTATAATTGTGCCTCTCAGCCTGTGGGCATCTTCCTCTCATACAGATATATCACAAGCCCACCTCAGATAAAATACCTGCAAGCACAAGTAATTCATCTTGTGGCTCAATGGAATTCAATACAGAGCTGAATGAATGGCATAGTGCTGAATTGTTGTCTTACTGTTGTGCATGTTTAACATGTTTCTAACAGATCCAGTGGGAGTGTATTAACCCTAAGTACCAAGTGAAGAAGAAGAATTACAGAAATTCTGGAATGGTAATTCTTACCATGTGCAAGGTGGGGAATTCCTTCACTTTATGTCTGATATATACCACCATTATGACTGCCCCTGTAATCACAGCACAGTCATTTTGTGTTAAAAAAATATCGTACTAGAACAATTTTTTTTTAAATGCACGCACACACACACACACACACACACACACACACACACACATACTTGTATTTGTGGTTTACGGGGACTCTCCATAGGCGTAATGGTTTTTATACTGTACAAACTGTATTTTCTATTGCCCTACACCAACCCTGCACCTAAACCTACCCCTCACAGGAAACTGCTGGCAATTAATTAATTTCATAAAACACTGTTTTGTATGTTTTTTAAGCCTTTTGTTTTACGGTGACACAGGAAGTGTCCTCATAAACCATGTTTACGTTGTAGTACCCATGTCATTATACACATTTGTGTCCTCATAAACCATATATACCTGTACACACACATATATGTGTGTGTGTGCATTTAAAAAAAATTGTTCTAGTACATATATATATATATATATATATATATATAGTATGATATCTGCTCTATTAAATGGGTTGGTCACTTTCTGACATGTAAACTAAAAAAGTGTAATAATTGACTTCTGTGGGTGCTGTGCAGTGATATTCACAGTAGCTACTGTAGATGAACAGGTATGCTGTATCATAGCCGTTACTTACTGTATTTTTGTAAACTTGAAATTATCTGTTAACCAGTCAGTATCCAGGACCAGAACTATCAGTTTAATAAGTGTTATTTTATCTCTGTTTCAGATCATAAAGATGCACTCTTTCCTGGATTACATCATGGGAGGATGTCAGATTCAGTTCACAGTAAGTAGTTTTGGAAGACATTTTATCTTAATGTCATTTTAATCTTTAAGCTAAACTAAACTTCACTGATAGCAAGAGTCAATTTAGAGATGTCATGTCAAGGATTGCAATAAAGGCTAGATTTTGTAAGTTGTGTTGTCTGGTGGTTTAGCTTCTAGCTGCGTGTGTTTACACATTTTGTGTTCTCAAAAATTATTACAAATTCCATCATTATTTACTCGTTTTAATTTGATTCCAAATCCTATGATTTTATTTCTTGCATAGAACACTAAAGTGAAATTTTGAAGATTTGTACTGCTCGCTCTATTTCCATGCAGTTACAATGAATGGAGACTGAAGCTTTCAATGTCCAATTCATGAATAATTGATTATTTAGATTCAGATCTTTTCAATTAATAATTTTACTCAGTTCACAAAACCATCCTGAACGAATCAGAATCACTAATTTGATTGCAGTGGTTCATACAATATGTTTATAGGTTTATGAGAATAATTACTTACATTTTAGTCTTAAGTTATCGGATAACTTGAAATATGGTGTATACAAGTTGTATATACATTGAACACTTTTATGGTATTTTTTACATCCTTTTTGAGGCTAGAAAGTTGAGGGTAAGTAAATAATGCCGTAAGGGTAAGTAAAAAAAATTTACATTTTTGGGTGAACTATCCCTTTAACAAGTGTTGTTCTGCAGGTGGCTATTGATTTCACTGCCTCAAATGGTGACCCTCGAAACAGCTGCTCCCTCCACTACATCCACCCTTACCAGCCCAATGAGTACCTCAAAGCGCTGATCGCTGTTGGGGAGATCTGCCAGGACTACGATAGGTGACCCACCAATCAATCCCTCAATCAGTCAGTCAGTCAACCAATAAAGCAGTTAATCAATCAAGCAAACAGTCAAGCTCAAGTCAATCCCTGAATTTTGCCAAATGAAATTTAATGGACTACTCCATCACAAAATGTTTACACCAGTTATTTTCTCAGTACAGGCAATTAACCAAACTTTCAGACTAATCAGGCATTCAGTCTTATGACTGCCAGCGCCTGTAGGATGCAGAGATGTCATGTCAAGGATTGTCTTTCTACACTTCAATCACTCTATCGCCCAAGACATCACTTAAGCTCAATTATATTTGACCCCTCACAATCATTGAGGGGTATTATATTTGACCCCTCATTGCTCATCTCTGGGGCTCATGCTCATTAATCCTCCCTGCTTCTGATCTGTTTCCAGCGACAAAATGTTTCCCGCTTTTGGCTTTGGAGCCCAAATCCCACCAGACTTCAAAGTAAGTTCATTATTTTTGTATGTAAAAAAAAAAAAAAAAGATTTTTTAGTTATACTTTAAGGGCAAACAATTTTTACATGTAATTATGTGTAATTTTGCAGTAGAAAAGTTGTCATTTAAAAAAAAAAAAAAAGTCTTTTTTGTTTTTTAAATGATAACACACTTACTGTGATTCTAGTTTTCGTTTGACTTTTAGATTCATTGCATACTTACAAGTTGAAATTAAATTTACATTTAAGATCAAATATTTATTTAATCCCCTATAATGTTTTTTTTCAAGAATGCTTGATTGACTTATCTAAGATTTAACAAACTGAATATGTAATATGAATATGTAACTTGATATGTAACTGAATATGAATATGTAACTTGATTTTAAGACTACAAGTTTCCCATACAGTACAGTAAATCACCATGGAAACCAGAGTGCAAAAAAAAAAAAAAAGTATTTTTTGTTTTTTAAATGATAACACACTTACTGTGATTCTAGTTTTCGTTTGACTTTTAGATTCATTGCATACTTACAAGTTGAAATTAAATTTACATTTAAGATCAAATATTTATTTAATCCCCTATAATGTTTTTTTTCAAGAATGCTTGATTGACTCATCTAAGATTTAACAAACTGAATATGTAATATGAATATGTAACTTGATATGTAACTGAATATGAATATGTAACTTGATTTTAAGACTACAAGTTTCCCATACAGTACAGTAAATCACCATGGAAACCAGAGTGCTCTGAATCCCTCACCATTACCTGACAGGAGATTTCTGAATAATTCATGAACTGCCGATGCCCTTTTACAATAATCACCTCATGATTCCTGCTAATCTATGCCAATCACTCAAAATCAGGTCATCTGATTGGTTGCCATGTTTCAATCAGAGGTCACGGCCGCAGTGTGGTTGGATGTGACTCTAAGAATGCATTTTAGTTGACTGCAGTCCAATCCACAGGGAAGCTCCATGATTTATGCATGGTTTTATCCCTTCCACTGGCTGCAATAACTCTGAATATAATTGAACCATAAGAGCTTATGAATGAAATAAAGAAATTAAATGTTTACATTATATGAACTTTAATATCATAATTTAATATCACCAAAGTGTAAATCAATTGAGTCTTTTTCTCCATGCCATTTGAAAAAGCAATTTGTTTCTAAAAGCGTAGACTCACTCTGCCATTGCTGCCACTGATCTCTCAGTTTTTGTCGCTTAACTATGTCTTTTTTTCCCTCCTCAATTCAGGTTTCTCATGATTTTGCTGTGAATTTTGATGAGGACAACCCAGAATGTGCTGGTGAGTCATCAAAGTGTAAACTTCATGCCTTTGCAAGCATTTTTGTTTTTCTAAAAGAAAGTTCAATGAAATGCAGTGCATTCCTACTGTATGAGTCAAACGTCTCCAACACACACTCGATGGCAAACAGAAGCATAAACTATGAACTTCTTAACTGATGCTCATGCATTTAAATGAGGCTGTGCTCTGCTTTAAATGAGCAAATTCATTAACAAACAAGCACCCCATTCAACCTCTAGGTCAAAGGTCATGTTTTAATCTGACATTTTAAGGGTCAGTAAATGTAAATGACCACCATTGTAAAAAAAAAAATATGACATCCATTCAATGTCACATTACAGAACAGATAATTGGTCAGTGCAGAAAATAAAATAAACACATCTAAACTTTTTAAGACTTGAAACCATTTAAGACTTGTTTTTAGAGAATATGCTTTTTTTTCTTACTGCGTTGACATTGTTTTATGCTTAAAAAATAATTCCAAAATTTAGTGAGGTTTAAAATTGACTTCATTCAAGATGTTTGAAAACAAGTCAGTGTATTGACCTGATGGGCTTTGTGTGTTTTGCAGGTATACAAGGTGTTGTTGAGGCTTATCAGAACTGCCTCCCGAAAATCCAGTTGTACGGCCCCACTAATATTGCTCCCATCATCCAGAAAGTTGCCGACTCTGCCTCTGAGGAGATGCATACCAAAGAGGCCATGGTTAGTCGGAGGGAGAGAGAGAGAGAGAGAGTACCTTTAATTAGACTGAAGAGCTCAATTTCTGCACAGCACCATATTGACTCCATCTGCTTTACTGCTGCTCCCTTTTTTCATAAAAAAAAACCTAAGTTGCTGATGTATATAAAAAAGAAAGCGTGCAGTGGAAGAGCACAGCAAAATGATTACTTAATCAGGATTTTTGTCTAATTTTCTCATATAATATTAAAACATCCTTTTAACAATATAGATTTACTTGAGAAGCCAAACTGCATTAAATAAGGCTTGTTCTCAGAAAATAGTTTATTTACTTAGTTGCGTACTAATTTGTTTAATAAAAAATGCATATTGTGAAATATAACAAATTACTGATTAAACTGTTTTTTAAATATATTTTAAAATGGAAAAAGACTTTTTTCAGCAACCATTACTCTAATCTTCATTGTCTAATATGCTTTGGATGCTCAAGAAGCATTTCTTATTTTTAGCAATGTTGAAAATATTTTGATATTTTTATGAAAACTACCATTCAAAAGTTTGCGGTAAGTATGATAAAATAAAAAGATATTAATATTTTATTCAACATTGATGTATTAAAGTGTTGAAAAGTGACAGTAAAGACTATTTAAAAATAAGTCGAAAATAATTCTATTTCGATTAAATGCTGTTCAGTTAACTTTCTACTCATTAAAGAATCCTAAAAAAAGTATCACCGCTTCCACAAAAAATATTAAGCATCAAAAACTGTTTTCAACATTGATGATAATAAAAGACATTATTATTAATTGAGTATTTTATTAATTCTGCCATAACATAAATAATTTACATTTCAAAATATATATTTAATTAGAAAATGGTTATTTTAAATTGTAATACTATTTCAACATATTACGTTTTTTACTTTACCTTAATATTACTTTATTTTCTTACCCCACTGGGAAATTTAGTGTGGTTTATGCTGAAAATAAAACAAGAAACAGTTTGTTGATTATAATGGGGCTCTGAGTGCAAGACAAAGACAAACACCTGGTGATCATATTAGTGCGAGTCCATTTTTAAATGTTCTCTCACATTTTATTCTTTCCTCATTCATTAGGAATACTTTATACTGCTAATCCTGACGGATGGAGTGATCACAGATATGGCGGATACACGAGAGGCCATCGTCCACGCATCCCACCTGCCCATGTCCGTCATCATTGTCGGCATAGGCAACGCAGATTTCAGCGACATGCAGATGCTGGACGGTGATGATGGAATCCTCCGCTCTCCTAAAGGAGAACCCGTCCTGAGGGACATCGTGCAGTTTGTGCCCTTCCACAACTTCAAACATGTGAGTAAAAACAGAAGTATCTTAGTTCACCCGAAAAGAAATTCTGTCATTATTTGCTCTCACTCACATTGTTGGAATAAATGATGACAAAATATTTCCACACTTCTCTTTTTATTCACATTTGAATTCATTTGAAAAGAATCCTGTCAGGATCTGGTGAAACCGTAAACATAGAAAGCAAAACCTGAAAGTTTTAAGGGATTACTAACAAGTCAAAGCCTAATGAACAGATGTTTCTAATGAAGAGGAATGCATCATACCAGGTTTGGTGATTTAAGAAACTGTATGGTACCTCTGGTCAGGGCATAGTCAGGAAGCCAGATTACAAGAGGATGCCGTACATCTAAAGGCATCCAGGTTTCTTTTCATCTCTCTCCTCTCTCAGGTCAGTGCGTTGCTCTCACAGCTGTCTCTCTGAGCTCCAATAACAAGCATGAACAGAGGGAAGGAAAACATCAAAGCTCTTAGATTTTACAGGCCTGTGTTTAGTTTAATTAAGGAGTGTGAAATCGTTCGTGTAGAACAGTCTTCATTATGAAAGTGTTTTTTTAAGAGACGTTAGGCGTATTCTGTCCTGCTTTAACCCAGCGAAATTCCTGCCGCTGAAGCTGAGTTCATGCAAAGTTCTGTTTTTTATTCCATTTTGTACATTTTTTTTAGTCCTGTAAATCCTATTTGAGACAATAATAATAATGAGACAAAATTGTCTTTTTTTTATTTTTTATAATCTCATAAATCAAAGCCTGGTATATCATTATTATTATTATTATTATTACTGATTCAATGTTTTTCATAAATATGAATTTAGTCATTTATAAATCATTTATTGTCAATATAAAAGTGACAGCTGTGAGAAAGAAAAAATGGAATGCATTGGCACCAACACATGAGAGAGACCTGATTCATAATTAATTTCAATACAGTAACATTAAATTGTAAGCTAATAGTGCATAGCTTTTTATGGCCCACACAGATATTTGAGTATAATAATTCATTTTTTTACAATGCTTAACTGTTTAGATTTTTTTTTTTTGAATTGCATGAAATATTTGTTTCTAATCAGCAACATCACACTGCCCACCCTCTTCTAGGATTAATATTGATTTGGGTTAAACTGATGCAGTGATTCCTTTTAAAGGAGTAACTCTTTTCAATAGACACTGAATGGTAGCTTAGGGCAGAGGTTTTCAAATTGAAGGGAAAGAAATGTGGTCTACGGAATAGTTAAAAAAAAAAAAAAATGTATATAAAAATTATTATTAGCATTATTTATTGTTTTATTTTAATTTTTTTTTTATTATTATGTTTGTGGTCATTTTAAAATTATTATTATTATTTCCTCTTGGCGTAACCTCTGCATTATTTTTTCAGATTCTTTTGTGGTTATGTTTAAAAAAAAAATCCAGCTGTTATGTAATGGTGTTATTGTTATGTAATCACAATGGTGATGTAGTTGTACTTTTTAAATCTTCAGGTTTTTCATTTGATTTATTGAACCTTTTGTCTAAGGCTTCTTGTGCAATAAACTCCAGAGAAGGGTTTTGTTTTGATTTTTTTTTCACAGTCTGGAAGACGTCTGTAAGGAAACCTGCTATCTCAGGTCAACTTCTGCAATATCACACAATTCATAAATATAGCGCAAATCTGAAGGTGTGAAGTTGGCTGTCCGATACGAATACTTCGGCGGGAATCTGAGCATGTGTGTGTGTTTATTTTTAGTACTGTCCTGCGTTTTCTCTGGTCTGTCTCCACCTGTTTTGCGGACGGAGTGAAATAGTAGCGACTCTTTTCCTGTATCACCTGCTCAAGCACAAGAGAGTGTGAGATTTCATCTATATTCCATTCTCTCATCCTTCCCTCCGTCTTTTCTTCCACACAGGCCTCTCCTGCAGCGCTGGCTAAAAGTGTGCTGGCTGAGGTTCCCAATCAAGTGGTGGATTACTACAATGGAAAAGGCATCAAGCCCAAATGCATGTCGGATTTTGAGTCTTCCAGAGCGTTCAGTCCCTGAGCTACGCACAGCCATATTCGTCTCAACTTCAAAATATCTTCATTGATCATTTCAGAGCTTGCTGCATTAGTGTAAGCATCGACAAGCAGGTCCATCCTTGTTGGTTTTTTTTGTCACTCAGGTTTCCAATAGCATTGGGCAAAAATGTCCTTAGCTGTCCATATTTTCTTTTTACGCAGTTGTTAGTTATATTAAAGGTGCGCTCAGTCATTTTTTTTGTTTTTGTTTCCCTGGCTAATATGGCAGTTGTCTTGGACCTAAAGTCACCATGAAATCAAAACTGACTTGAATGCAATATTGCAGTGATTAGAAATGATATATCTGTGCACATCATTATTTTACATGTACCCTCGTAATCTTTTTAATCAATATAACTTCCCTTCTCCCTCGCAAGTGTAACGGAGGACAGGCTTTTGTTACCTTTTGTTTTGTTGATATTATTACTGTTATTTTGGTGGACCTGCTATACAAGGGCTATATAGTCCAATATAGCATAATATTCCAACGCGTAATAGTTTAGGAGGCAAGTGATTAACAGTTATTGGCCAGTGCATGACCAGTGCTCAGTTAGTAAACACTGTTAGTCCTTTATAATCCAAAGTGCAACCATTTTATTGCTTTATTCAATTTACCTGCAAAAAGTTTGTGGTCTGTAAGATTTTAATGTTTTTTTCTAAGAAGTCTCCTATGGCTTGCTTATCTACCCACCCCAAACGTTTGAACGGTAGTGTATTTATTTTAAAACTTATTTTTAATGTGAGGCCTTTATGACTTACAATTGTTACATACAATTAAGTGTATTGTATATAGCTCTATAAACACATTTATTTGAAAGCATGTGGAATGGATTCTGTGAATACAGTATTTACAGTATTTAGGCATTCTTTGTTTTTGTTCTTTTCTACAGGTTTCTTGACATATGTTTTGCAGAATTTCTTAACATAATCTAACATTATAAAGTTCTTTCAGATGTTTGGAAATAGTAGATGTGTTTCTGGTGCTGTATTAGACACATTTCTCTTTTTCTTTTATGCATTTCTTTCTTTCCTTCTTTCTTGGAGCGTGTGTGTATGTACAGTATTCTTGCTTACTACCGAAACCAGGACTGTATTTTGCATGTTGCCAATTTAAAAAAAAAGTTTTTCCCACTTTTGTTTCTCAGCTTTTTGTTTTGATGTTCACTGGATGCACTTGCTCAGCATCACATTGCAAACACCCACAGTTCTCTCACACCCAGTAATATTGATCTAGAGTTTCTGTTTAATGCTACAATACTGTAATTCACTAAATGCTCAATTTAGAGGGATGCTTGAATGTAAAGGCTCTTAACATGCATCAGAAGACCTTGAGAAATGGAGTCCTGGAGGCGTGATCGACTCTTTGAAGTCTAAACACAAACATGCACACACTTCTCTCCACACATCCATACAGCCTTTCAATTAGCTCCATCGTGTATAATTAAACACTCGGATCACCAGAACAAGACCAGGGGATATCAGGAGAAAAAGATATCATGTCATTTATCATATCCTGCAGGTCCATTAGTCAAAGATTCAGCAGATTATTTATTGTGAATGATTTTGCTGAAACGTTCTCATTCAAAACAACTTGCAGCAGGGAATGAAATCTGAGGTTGAATGTCTTTCACAAGGACAGTATTGCTAGGAGACTCCCATTAAATATCCATTTCATGAATATTCACATATTCATCTTTTAAATAATAAGCATGGATATTAACTTAGGTGAATATTCACATAAAATACTGCAGTTTTGATTCACTTTGGTTCACTTTTCAATACTGTTTAATTATTATTTCCTGTATTTAAACTCTCAAACCTTTTGTTTGAAAGTTTAATATT